GAAATAAAAACTAGAAAATATACCTAGGCTGCCGTGGAGTATGGTAAAGAGCTTTTACAGAAACGTCTGCTTGTGTTGTGTAATGGAATTTATTACCATGGAAGTATAATATCTATGTATGGAGACACCATGTTATGTTTTGCATAGTGTGCTGTATTTTTCGTCTTGACCGTCACCAAAATTTGCTAGTGTAAAAACATTTATGACACCAAAATTCGTGTGAATATATGCATTGTTGTCGCCGACATTATTTACCACGTCGGGAGGTTTTACCAACCGTCTTCCCATTCCGAAGGCTTTATATGCTTTTTCCGGGGCTCCATATGCCACGGTACATTTAGCTGCTCAAGGGCCTCTCACATTGATGTCGGTTCTTTCCACTTGCTCGGAGGGCCTTGTTCTGTTCCTGGGGCTCATACAAAAGGCATCGAGTCATGCGTTGCTCAAGGGCCCTCTTATTTGAACTAGGGCTCTTTCCTGATGATCCCACTGGAAGTGACCCTGAAGTGGTGACCTTGAAAAGTCCCCCGCCCCAATTGCACGTCTTTGCGGGCGTGTTGCCCAAAACTACACGGGTTTAAGCCTAAACACACGCTCGGGTGGGGAGGGGGGGTCAAATTAACCACCGAAGGTTTTTCCAGAATGGTTTCCGAACGGCGCGGCGCAACCGCACCAAATTTTGCGTAGCTGTAGACAATTGAACAGCAGATCATTTGACAAAAAACTTGGATGTACCATGTAAGGTCGCTGACCTATGGCAGGTCAAAGCCGGCATGGTTTTAGCTAAGGCAATTTCTAGAGAATCGTTTAATCTGATACAACAACGGAGTGTTTGACGAGGCCATACATCTCTGAGATGCTTTCTTAGGCACCAAAAATATTACATGAGCAAATTACATTGACCTAAGGTCAGGTGTGAAGGTCACACCAAGATCAAAACAGACCTGTTTTATTACTCTAGGGTTTGCTGTATGGGATAGTTTCTGGTGCTCATGTCGGGTTCATTGATAGCAGGAACCGCATTATACATCTTCCATGGACTTCTTGGAGGTCAGAATAAGTCATTGACCTAAGATATCCCGGGTTGACGTTCTGTTTTGGGGACCTACTGCGTAGCGTAATCTTTGTCGCTTATTCAAATGCAGAACTCAGAGCAGTCTTGCATAATTTTGGTCACCATGACCTTGAAAAGATCAAACAGGGTCACTGACCTCAAATTGGGCTTGTGACCTTTTGCTAAGAAACAGTTGCTTAGGTTCTTGAGGCACTTTGGAGACCGACTTAGAATGTGACCTTGCTTGACCTTATTTGACCTGAAGGTCATAACCTAGGAAGCGCAAATTTTGACTAAGTGAGCTCACGTACAGGTAAGTGCTCCCTGTAAATTTGGTGCCATCTAGCTTCCTTAGTTCCCGGGATCTCAGGGGGGAGTCAAATTGACCCCACCCGAGCGAAGGGTATCTAGCCGGCCACCCGGGCGCGTGTTGAGGAGGGCGGGCTGCGCCGAATAACGGGCACTGCACCGAATAATGTTGGAGATGGTTATTTCAGTTCGGCTCAGAATGCAAATGTGTGACACCCTCGCTTAAACAAGCATGCCACCTTTTCTTGTAATGTTCACGTATCAATAGGTCAGACGCATACAATTTGACTAGTAACACCAGTTTTTCCGCAATTTTTCTGATAAGCTTGCAATTGGAGTTAAATAGCCGCCTCTGATGGGAAATTTCATTGGACACCCCGCCCACCACTATGAAAGTGATGCATTTCATGTGCCTACTATTGATAACATGTGTGTTCTGTAATGCTGCAGCACACTAATTTGCGCGAATGTTTGCGTGATAAATGCTGCAAAGGCATGAATCACTCTGTTTAAACAAAATTATACGCGAACATGAAAGTACTATCCTGCTAAATCACGAAATAATGTAGTATGACTTCAATTTCTCCCTTATGACGTTGACCACAGAGGCCCTTTTTGAGCAACACCTTGACTTTGGGAATAGAAATATCACATGCTCCACAGTAATGTTCTGGTTCAAACTTGAATTAATGTGCTTGTCGGTAACATGCCCTGCCGCCCGCCGGGCCAATCCCAAACACTCTTTCAAAGCGTCCACAGCGTAAGCTTAACATGGAAATAATGAAATTTGAAATCCCCACTTTGTCTTGGTGGTGTTGCAGTGACTCTACCAAGTGCTATTATTAGACCAGCTCGTTATGGGGGTGTCACTTAAGTACGTTTTTGGAAGAGTCATTAAAGATGAGGCACTCAATTTGAGAATAGCGCCAGAGATTAGCTTGTGAATACAAGTGACATTAAGTCACGGGCAAATATGCAAGAACACGACAAGAAAATGCCAAAGCACGACCCCATGACGATACTTGCTTCAGCAAGCTCGTCCAGCATCGCAACTGCCAGCTCTCAACGAGTTGAAGCACCACAAGTGATTGGTACGCACCGCCAGTTTGGCAGCACCTCTGACGTCATACAAACGTTCCCTGACCCAATCAAACAATGACGCATTGAGTAGCATATTTACGAAATAGACATATTTTGCTGTCTGGAGTAGCCGTTTTTGCTCAAAGGAATGCCAATACCTATAAGCGAGCCGTTTAATCACATCTGATGCCTGCGTCATTATCTTCAAATAAAAAACATACCCTTTTATCGTCGCCCTGATAGGAGAGGCAGTCGATGCTACCTCCCAGGTTTTTTTTAGAAATAAAATGCATTTCTGTATTGCGCAATGGCGTCCAAATACCTCGTAGCTAATGGGGCCTTCAATGCGCGTGCTTTGTCACCAAAAACATTTGCATAGCTTTTCTACCTTCGGAACAGCAACAGTTTTTGAGGAAGACCCCACGGCGATCTGCGGCCTATGCAGCGGCGGCAACCGACGGTCCCGCGGAACGGCATTGTTACCTGAGCGGAGTCATGTATCATAAATTGATGATCAACACGCGCTCGGGTAGCGGTCAGTTTGAACCCGAAAGGTTTTTCAGAATAGTTTCCGAACGGCGCGGCGCAGCGACGCCAAATTTTGCCTATCTGTAGACCAAAGAATATGGGATCGTTTGGTATCCAAAATCTAGATGTGCCTTGTAAAGGCACTGATCTAGGGCAGGTCAGTCAAGCCATGCATTCAGCGAAATCTATTTCTAGAGAATCGTTCGGTCTGATGCAACAACGGTGTGTTAGACAAAGCCTTACATGTTTGAGATACTTTCTCAGGCAACACAATAATTGAATGAACAAATTCTATTGATCTAAGGTCCGGTATGAAGATGAAATCAAGGTCAAATCCAGCTTGTCTGACTACTCTGGGGTGTGCTGTATTGGGTAATTCCTGGCGCTCAGTTAGGTTTGGTTGATGTTTGAAACCTCATTATATATCTTTCATGGACCCCTCAGGGGGCAGCGTGGGTCACTTACATACAACAACCAGGTCATACTGCTTTTTTGTAGCATACTGCCTAGCGTAATCCTTGCCGCTTATTCAAATGCAAAACTCAAAACATTCCAAAACAAAACATGATTTCGATCACCGAGACCTTCGAAAGGTCAAACAAGGTCACTACCCTTAAAAGCGCATGTGACCTTTTGCTTATAACAGGTATTCAATTTCGGGCCACTTTAAAGACCAGCCTGGAGTTTGACCTTGTTTGACCTTATTTACACCAAGTCACGACCTAAGAACCTCAAAACTTAACCTAAGTAAGTTCATGTACAGGCCAAAACACCCTGTGAATTTGATGTCTCTAGCTCTCGTAGTTTTTTAGATATCATGGGGACAATCTGACCCCAACCCGAGCAAAGGGTACCCAATCGACCACCCAAATGCGTGTTAAGACACACCAAAGCACACCATTGTACTCAGAAGCAAAAAAAGCACGTTTGCTTATGCTTCCTGCCGCCATTATGCATACGCTCTTACGTATGATATTGTACAGCTCAAAAGGGGACATTTTCTGGACATTTTGGCCTCTGACCGGGCATAATTGACGCAACAACATAAAAGATAATTGATAATTATGTATGTGGAGTTGTCCCGTGTCTTGCATTCGGATTATGCCATTCTGAGTTCATCTCAGTCTCTCCCAACGAACCCCGCGCGTTCCGAAAGCGTCTTCAACGACCGTACAGATCGTTATAACTCGAAAACGAAAGTTTGTAACAAGACATAACCCTTAAGGTGTATACCCTGACACGGAGCGCCTCCGACACTCCAGGCCAGCACTCGTTCAGCGGCCAGCCGCTTCCGGGGACACGCCCGAGAACGATGACGTCAGTCAACTGAGGAGGCGGCGCCGACCCAGGCGCGTCGCAGCGACCCGACACTGCGTTGGAGAAGCATCTTCTTTGTTCTTTGTGCAAGGCGTCGCGTGCTCGGGTGCTGCCCGGCAAACGTTGATGTGTTTGCAACTGACTGTTGACACGACTCTGACAGTTTCACAGTCAAACGACATGGAGCAGAACCGCAGCACCCGTTCTGAGTTGCAGGAACGTTGGGATCTTAGCTGTCAGTTACAGAGAGCAGTGTGCAGTGCACCTGCGTGAAGGACAGCTTAAACTTGACCGCCATGGGCGGACAGTAGACGTCAGGAACTTAGATGGGGTCAAAATGCTCTACCTCCGTCACTAACGTTACAAAGATGTACCACTGGCTGCATACAGCGTAGCATTGGTACCTACGATTGCGCTATTGAATGGACCACCGCCCGCAATCGTTCCTTCCCCAAAGTTTGAGAGGGGGGGGGGGCAGGGTTGCATGGCTCTGTTCACAGGTGATTGTGTCCGTCCTATTATATAAGACTAACCACGCTTTGAGTCCTGCCCTTACATAAAGCACAGCGCATCCGCCATGCATTATTCCATCGACAACGATGTTCCTCACGGCCACGCTGGTACGTGCGCCGGCACGTTCTGTGTGTGAGGGTTTCGCCACTGCTGCGGACCCGTCCTGGCCAGTGTCACAATCTCCTGGAGCGTGCTGAGTGCGTCATTAGTGCCGTCAATTCGGGCTACGAAATGGGTTGCGACAGACTCGGGGCACAGGTAAGGCTATGCAGACGATTGCCGGGGCATGAGACTGAGTCCAACAATCCGGGTCCGAGTCCGAGTCCGAGTCCGAGTGTGAGTCCGAGCCCGGGTCCCAGCCCGAGTCCGATTCTGAATCCGAGTCTGAGTTTCAGTGCCTGTGTCGCTATTTGGGATCCTATTTCACCCTCGGGTCCTGGACCTTGCACCCAAGTCCGGTTCTATTGTTCTTAGCAGCTCGTGAGGAGTCCCGGCATGAGTACGGGTCGTTAAAGTTTTAACTGACAGTTCGTGAGTTATGTGAGAGAAGTACATGACAGGGGCTATTTTTTGTGTGCTATCGTTTATTTGATAGGCATGTTATGTCATTAGGGTTACAAATAAAAGCTGGTTAAGGCAGGCTAGCCTTTTCTGAAACGACATGTTGATGCGGTATCACATTATGTTAACAGGTGGGTCACAGCACTGCGTTCATTATTATCAGATACAAAGTCGACGCACCCACCTGCTGGTGCAGAACAAGGAGAAAAGTATGAAAAAAACTGGCGAAACAAGCATTGTTGAATGACCAAATTTTGAAATAGTTCAACCTTTAATGAGCAACAAAAATTCCCTATTAAGTGAATATGCCGCTCAGAGCATCATCGCCATCGCAAAACGTCATGGGACATATTTATAACGTCTCAGTCGCTGGCAGTCTAACCGTGTCAGAATTGCCCCCGCATTGGACTGACTGACTCACCTGTAGCACTTGAACTTGCCGAGGGGTGGCGGTGTGCTAGTGGAGCTTGCCTGAGGAACCGGATATTGTCATGTGCTCGTGTTTTGGCCCTTTCTAGTGGCGTTCTTGTATATTTATTCTTGGTTTTATATTGCTTACTTGCATTCATATACTCTGTTATAGAGCTGTTCCTAAGTTATTAATTTCAAATGTCATTTACGTCATAAGTTGTACCATTGCCCAACTTTTTTATTATGTAGTACAAAACATAATCTGTCCTTAAAACTTGCTGTGAATGCATTGTATCGACTGATGGCCAACCGCAGACCATCGGTGTCAGAGATCATGATGGCGTACGCCTGACATGAATAATTGGATGACAATATTTACGTTGACTGAGCACCTCCACATTCTCAAGGAAGAGGCAGTATTTACGTGACGTGTCTATGGTGTTATCTATGTTCTGGTGACCTTGAAATGGTCTGTATGAGGTAGTCTGCACAAGTTTTGGGAGCGTGAAGCTAAAAAACAGAAGGTTTAAAGTCTTTAAAAGAGTAGGGCTGCAAATTGCAATTGAGGATTTTAAAAATGTTTATCCCAGTACAGAACCGCATGCAAACTTCGAACGCTCCTTTAAAAGCAAAAATGAACATCACCAAAAACCTTGCACAAGCTTTTACGGATAACAATTCCAAGGCTCACTTTACTTGCTGATCTAGTATGATTTTTTTCTGCTTTGTGTCGCATGCTGCGCACGCGAACATGGGTCGCGGTTCCCTGGAGCTTATTACTTCATTTGCAATAAACCTACAGCCCAAAAATGCTGCAAAATGTTGATAAAGGTCACGTGGTCACAGCTCGCCAGACTTGATTACATTGGAAGACGCGTCCCCAACGAAACACGATTTCGTAATCGGTCATCAGATCGTGACCCCACTGGACTTTTGATTCGATCGTCCGAACATACTTTTGTCGATAAGCCTTTAACTTCCTAGTCGATAAGTTAACTTTCTAGATTCTGGTGCCTTTGACAACCCGTGGGCATGGCGATGCAAATGCCACTCCTGAAATGCAACAACGAAATTTGTAATCGGAGCGGTACGGTCCCAGACAGCCTTGGCAACTTTCATGTACATGCTTGATTTGTGACATGTTTGACAGTGGACCTGACAAAGCCAAACAACATGCTATAGCATATTTACATTTCGGGTTGTATTTTCCGTTCCATTTGTTTCTAAGCTTATTTAAGTTCGAGCATGGCAATACTGGGTAAAGGTGAATGCTTTATTGTGACAAGGCATCCATGCTTTTAAATGATGGTTTGTATGCATGACAACAAGGCTGACCGACCGTATAACATGTAGCATATCGCTTTTGGTGTTTGTTACGAACCGATGGAACATGAACATCACCTCATTTGAATTTGTGATTACCGCTGGCTTATTACGATATCGGTGATCCAGGACTGTCGCGCGGGCTAATGGGACGCATCTTTAAGATTTTATTTGACGTGTACCTCCCTTAAAAAAAATCCGAGAGATTGGTGATAGCTTTACAAACTCACTTTGATCTATGTCTGTTGCAACGGGGCCAGGCTCTGCGTAAAAAGCAGTTACTACGTTGCCAAACTTTTCTGATGGCATAAAGGGTGGATTTCGTATATTTTCTCTCAGCAGATATTTTGAATCGAACGATCGAGGGCGAAAACTTTGAGTAAGAAGGAGCGCGTGGTCCGGCGAGACAGCTATCACCGCCGGGTGAGACAGGCTTGCCCCAGCGCGGGGCGAGGCGCGACAGTCCGTTTGAGCGGTCCCTGTCGGCAGATCGCTGGGGCCGTGGTGATGTCGCAGACCGCGGGCATGTACGGCATCATCGTCAGCTTCGCTGGGATGCTGCTGGCTGAGTCGCAGTCGGGCGGTTCTGCCGCTCAGATGACGATTGGCGAGGCCACGCTGATCGCTTCCATTTCTCACCTGGGTCGCGTCATAGGTAAGGAATAAGGAATCAGCGATGATCGCTTCCATTTCTCACCTGGGTCGCGTCATAGGTAAGGAATAGGGAATCAGTGTTGCTCGGAGAATCTGTTCATAACCAGCTGAGCCTCACACATACGGTTCGAACGCGAACCAATAGGATTTTTTGCGAATCTGACGTAAGACCTGAGTAAACAATTTTTAGGAGCTTATTGCAAGATACCCAAAAAGCCTTCCGCTTACCATGCAATCTTGCTCACAGCGAAACAGTATGTTTTTTTAAGTTGAGTAGGATTTATAGTTAAATGGTTTTGATGCGTATGTGGCAGTTAATGTTCATTCCTTGAATGTGACTATTTTTCTGTATAACAAAACGTTAGCAAGGCAAACAAGCAAAGCACAAAAGCGAAGCAAAAGCAAAGTAAAGGTACGAAAGCAAGCAAAATTTAGCCACTATGGCGCCTAATATGTCAGTTAGTTTTCTATCGGTCCCGCTGAAAGGCAGGCTAGGGTTGCTACTCACGACTTGGCTGCTGACCTCTGACCTGACCTGGCCTGCTAGGATGTATCCTGTCGGTGTGGCTGACGTACCGGTTGGGCATGCTGCGCGTGACCTGGCTGCTAGCCCCTGACCTGGCTTGACGTAACAGGCCCTGTTCTGTCGGCACCGTTGACGAACCAACTGGCATGTTTGTGTGTGACCTGCGTGCTGACCGTTGACCTGCCCTGACCCGGCAGGCTCTATCCTGTCGGCACCGCTGACGGACCGGCTGGGCGTGCTGCGGGTGCTGCAGCTGAGCGCACCGCTCAGCCTGGCCTCGTGGCCCCTGATAACGCTCGGCAGCCGGGACATGATGCTGGCCGGCACCATCTCTGCCGGCGTCGTGATCGGCCTCACCGCGTCCGTGTGCAGACTCTATATTGCCGAGGTTGGAACTGCCGGCGGATGGCCGCCATGGAGTGGCAGGCTGGTTATATTGACGTGCCCATACGATTCGCCAAAACAACAATGCATGCAAAGCACGGTCCTAACCAAAATGACAAGGGATTTCGTACGCTGTTTCTGTGTCATTGTAAGGCACAGAACTGTGGAATCGTGGCATGCGTAAAACCATCATTTCGGCGATAGGATGGTTTGTCTTTCATGACCCGGGGCGCAGCCTCAATGCGAGAAAGGTCGTATCCTCAAAAGAAATTGCTGACTTTCATTGCTGAATGAAGCACAGACCAAGGCAGCGTACTTTGAGATGTGATGAGGATAGCATGTGCTTACCATCCCCTATGTTGTCACAGCCGTTTCTTTTCACTAACAGTGAAGTGGCATGATGGTTAGTCGCAAGCTCACGGCGGCTGAAGCAAAGGGATCGAGACCTGACCGAACTGCTGAGCTAATGGTTCGCCAGTATTAACCATGTCCTTGATCGTGGGGCCGGCATGCACCAAGAGCTGCGCCACAATTTTTTGGGAGGTTGTGCGTGACAATATTGGTAGTAGGTCCCATCATAACAAATGCCTATCGGCTAATTCCCCATCCAATCCGAAGCCATTTAAACATACCATTTTTGCCATTCTTAATTTTTGCGAAATCGGTCAATTTTTTCAAGTAAAACGTTTACTACAGTGAACCAAATCAATGCAGCACGCATCGGCATGTTGAGGTATGAAATGGCGAAGGTCAAGTCATGGATCATACATGAGCACATTTGCTTACTGCAAAATGACCAACAAAAAATTACATCGCCTTGATGATAACGTGGCTGATCTTTCACGAGCCAGCGACGCAGCCTGAAAAATGATGAAGCTCGTAGCTTCGAAGAGAAATACTGTACCTTATCACCAAGGAGAACACAGACTCCGGCGGAGTACTTTGAGGCGTAAGGAGACCGGTATGTGCATGCCAACCTGTTTCGGCCGTTCCGTCATACTCATGTGAAACGGTATGATTATCGGTGACGGGATCTCACGGTGACCGTAACGTTGTGATGAAGCCGATCAATCCATTAAAGTAAAAAAGCAATATGATTACCACAGCAACCCACATCAATGCAACACGCGTCCGAGTAACGTGTGCGACGACAAATCAGGCAATATGCATGAACACATTTGCTTATCGTGAAATCGCTCGTCAAGATTTCCTAGCTCGCTCCAGTACGTTTGGGTATTTATTTCGTCAACTTCAGCAAAGTGCAACTTATGTTCTTGGGTCATCGTTCTATTGAGTCCCGTTCTGTCGCTGCAATAAAATACAGTCCAAACGTCGGATATGTATAATCTCAGAGGGGCATATAGATTACTGCCTGTCCCTCAGGTGTCACCAGCGCGAGCTCGCTTCTCTCAGGTATCATCAGCGCGAGCTCGCCCCCCTCAGGTGTCATCAGCGCGAGCTCGCTTCTCTCAGGTGTCAACAGTGCGAGCTCGCTCCCTCAGGTGTCATCAGCGCGAGCTCGCTCCCCTCAGGTATCATCAGCGCAAGCCCGCTCCCCTCAGGTGTCATCAGCGCGAGCTCGCGGGGTGCTCTGCAACCTGCCTGGCATGGCGATCGCACTTGGCCTCCTGATCAACTTCAGCCTGAGTGACCTGCTGCCATGGCGCTATGCTACCTTGCTGTGCGGCTGCGTACCACTCGTCACACAACTTATTGGAACAATTCTCCTGCCCAATTCGCCCAGGTAAACTTTTAGGAGCCAGTGAGGGTCGCTTTGAAGACATCATGCGTAGAGGACATTTACCAGAATAAAATCGCGATGTGGTCTATACCTGTCACAAAGATGTCTTCTATGGGTCCCTAACTACTGGTGCCTATGAGCCTCATATAAGCGAAGTAAATTGTATGCCCGTCTTGTCCAGCATTTGGAAACGACGACATTTCATATGCTGATGCGATGGCGATACTCACCCAATATGTCAGTGTACTTGCATTCTAACGAATGCCAACGGACGAAGTCGTTCCGAAAGAAATGGTGTTAAGCCAGGAGTTTTCTACCTCTGTTATCCATGTGTTCATGGATGATGAATCTCCAGGTGACAGGTTTGTAAGTTACAAGGGCACAAATTTAGCAAACCAGCAGCGCTTTCGTAACACGCAGATGGTTGACGCACCGTGGTGCTGGTGACGAGGTGGTGAGCAAAGCCATTACGTTCTTCCACGGGAAGAAAGTCGACATCGCCTGGGAAGTCAAAGAGATCCAAAAATCTCTGAAAGGAAGACCACTTTAATATTCTCCAGCAGGTGATCAAAATAAAGCGTGTGGGACAACATGGAAAAGTGAAGTTGTTAATTTGTAAATGTCTGCCCACTCCATGTAGAACGTTTCGGACATTTTATACTCGTTGGGCTAAATGAAGTCGCGGCTAACACCTCATTTAAATGTTAAAAGACCTTATGCACAGTGTGCTTCTTCACTGCGTGCCCTGCCTGGATGTCGATTGTATGCTTCACTAAGAAGGCATCTGGTTATGACACGGTGTCTCCAACTCTGGTACGGACCAGATTGAC